CCAACCAAGACCAAAGTATGAAGAAATAGAAAATCTAAATAGATTTATAACTAGTAAAAAGATGAAATCAATAACCAAAAAACTAATGACCAAAAAAATAAAAAGCTAGACCTGAAGACTTTACTGGTAAATTCTACCAAACATTTAAAGAACACCCAACAATAATTCTCAAACTATCCCCAAAAATTTCTGAAGAGGAGGGAACAATTTTTAATTCATTCTATGAGGCTAGCATTACACTGAGAGCAAAGCCAGCCCAAGACTTTATGAGAAAACTACAAGAAAATATCCTTTATGAACATTTATGCAAAAATCTTCAACAAAATGCTAGCAAACCAAATCCAGCAGCATATTACAACCAAATAGGATTTATTCTTGAATACAAAAATAGTTCAACACATGAAAAATTGATGAATGTATTATACTATTTTAATAAAATAAAGGGGGAAAACTATACCATCTCAATGCACAAAAAGCATTAACAAAACAACATCCTTTCATGATTAAAAAATACTCAATAAACTAAGGGTAGAAGGAAATTACCTCAACATAATAAAAAAATATATATGAAGACCCTAAAGAGATCATATTACATGTTCAAAGACTGAAATTTTTCCCTCTATGATGAGGAAGAAGGTAAGGAGTCCTACTTTCACTTTTATTCAACACAATACTAGAATTTATAGCCAGAGCAATTAGGGGGGAAAAAAATCCATATTAGAAAGGATGTAGTAAAATTATCTCTGTTCACAGATGCTATCATCTGAAAGACTATACGTACAAAACCCTAAAGACATCAACCTCCCAAATATTTTAATCAATGAATTCAGCAAGGTAGCTGTATACAAAGTCAATACACATTCATTCCATTTCTACATACTAATACTGAACAATGTGAAAAGCAAATTATGAAAGCAATTCCATCTCTAGTAGTATCAAGAAAGAATGAACTACTTAAGAGTTCACAACGAAAGAGGTAGGACATAAGTACAATAAAAACTACAAAACAGGCTGGGCTGGGGTGGAACTCAGCCTACTATGCCCCTGGGTTCAATTCTGAGCATCCAAAAACAAACAAATAAGCAAAACTACAAAACATTGTTGAAAGAAATTACAGGCATAAATTAATTAAACATATCCTATTGTTCATGGATTAGGAAATATTATTGTTAAAATGCCCATTCTACCCCAAGCAATCTGCAGAGTCAATGAAATTCTTAACAAAATTCCAATAATGTTTTTTACTCTAATGGAAAAACCATCCTAAAATTCACATAGAATTTCAATAGCCCCAAATATAAAAAACAATCTTAGCTGTAACTTGGAGGACTTACATATTCTGATGTGAAAATTTTCTACAAAGTTGTAGTAATCAAAACAGTGTGGGGCTGGCATAAAGACAGATGAAATAAAGAGCCTAGAAATAAATTCTTAGTTGGGTGTGATGGCGCACACCTGGAACCCTGGCACTCTGAGAAGCTAAGGCAGGAGGACTGCAATTCAAGCCCACTCTGGGAAACTTAGCAACTTAGTGAAACCCTGGCTCAAAATAAAAAATCAAAAGGGCTCAGGATATAACAGGATGCAGAGGCCCTAGGTTCAATCCTTAGTATCTAAAGGAAAAAAAAAGAACAAAACCAAAAAGTCTTACATGCATGGTCAAATGATTTTGACAAGGAATCAAGACTATTTAAAGGGGAAATAATGGTCTTTTAAACAAAAGGTGCTAGAAAAACTGGATATCCACATGGAAAAGAATTTGGACTCTTATCTGACACCCTATAAAAATTCACTCAAAATGGATCAAAGATATAAATATAAAACCTACAACTATAAAACTTTTAGGAGAAAACATAGGGGTAAATGCCTGTGATACTGAATTAAGCAATGATTTCTTGAATATGACACCAAAGGTGTAAGTAACCGGTGGAAACAGAAGAAGTAGACTTCATAAACATGAATCCAAAGACAGCACCAACAGAGTGAAAAGGTATCCCACAGAATAAGAAAAAAAATCTTTGTAAATCATACATCTGATAAGAGTAATATCCAGAATATATAGAGAACCAATAAACTCAGCAACAGAAAAACAGGTCACCAATTCAAAAACAAGCAAAGGACTCCAAGAAACGATTGTCCAAAGAGGATAAACAAGTGGCTATTAAGCATTTGAGAAGATTCTTAGTATCGTCCAAGAAATGCAAATGAAAACTGCAGTCAGATACAACTTCATACTCATCGGGACAGCTACTGCCTGGGCAACAGGGAAGCTGTGTGAGGACGCTTGTGTCTGGCACAGGTTTACAGTCCCAGCACTTCAGAGCCCGAGGAGAGGAGAAGCTTGAGTTTGCAGGGGTGAGCTTAGGCTACACAGGAGATTTGTTTTTTCAAAACAAATTAAAAACAGATAATAAGTATTGATGAGATGTGGAAAATGGATTTTGCGTGTTCTTGGTAGAAATGTCAAAATGGCATAGTTAACTATGGAAAATATCATTTCTCCCTCAAAAAAACTAAAAACAGAACTGTTATACAATCCAGCGGTTTCGCTACTGGGTATATGCCCAAAGGAATTGAAAGCTAGATTTCAAGGAAGAAAATGCAGTCTTAAACAGCTACAATTATGTTTGTAGCAGCAATGTTTACAGCAGCTAAGACATGGAAACAACCAAGCATACATTGGTGGATAAGTGGATAAGCGATCATATTCAGCAATCATTAGAGAACACATGCTACAACATGGATGAACCTTGAGGACATTATGCTAAGTCAAATAACTTTTGCAGAAAGACATGCTGTGTGAATCAATCTACACAGGTACTCAGAGCATTCCAGACCATATGGAGAGAAAACAGAAGTTGCTGCCAGGCACTGGGGGAGGAAGGAATGGGACGCGATTGTGTAATGGGTACAGAGTTTCAATTTTATAAGATGAAAAGGAATGATGGCTATCATCAAGAAAACAAGTAATAACAAATGCTAGCGAGGCTTCAGGAGAATAAAGGAAACTTCTACGTTATTTGTGGGCATGTAAAGTAGTACACACATTATGGAAATCAGTGTAGAGAATCCTTCAAAAAATGAAAATTAGAGGGCTGGGGATTTAGCTCAGTGGTTCCACCTTCTGCTTTGCAAGCGCAAGGTCCCAAGTTCAATCCCTGGTACCAAAACAAAAAAACAACTAGAAATTCCGCTTGACCGAGGTATTTCCCTTCTACGTATCTTCCTGAAAATTATCACATTACAGTGATACACGCATACCCATGTGTCGCGAGCCGGCGACGCAGAGCACTGTCCCACAGTGCCTAAAACCTGAAAGAGCAGCGAGGTGGAGATGGGGCAGAGAGAAAGGAAGGACGCCAAGAGTCTGATCAAGGCAACGTTTATTGCAGGCAGGCATCAGCCTTTTAAAGGCACATCAACGGGAAACACCTGACTCCTACAGCTAATGTCAGATTTTTAACAGGAAGTACCTGACTCCTACAGATCTTTGGCTATCCGAGTTTCTCTCGTGCAGGGTCAGAAACAAGTTTAACACGTGCAGTCCTTAAAGAGGAACAAATGTTATCTTTCAAAAAGCCAGTGGGCCATGGCTGGCTTCCCACACCCATGCTTACAGCAGCAAAATTTATAATAGGTAAGTCTTGGAGGCAAGCCATAAGTCCAGTCAACAGATGAAAGGATAAAGAAAATGTGGTATTTAGACACAATGGCATATTACCCTGCCATAAAGGTTTGTAGGACAATGAATGCACCTTAAGTGAAATCAATCAGACAATAGATTTAAATATCACATGGTTTCACTTATACGAGAAACCCAAGTTATAAAGAAAGAACAAAGTAAAAGATAGATAATAGGAAGTAAGGAGCTACATCTTTCCCAAAGGGGAAGGGGATCAAGAAATGGGGGGTAAAAAAAGAGGTAAGGCGTGTTATGTACATGCACTAACTCCCCACAGGGAATGTGATCACTGTGTACTAACAAAAAGCAAGAGGAAAAGAGCTGTAAAGCTGATATTGGTGATCCTTGTGCAACATTATGAATGCATATAACCCCAGCGAATTGTACACTTTAAAGCGGTTAAGATGGTAAATGTGTCTTTTACAATAAAAAATCAGAATAAAAAGTTAAATTACAAAATACTGTATTATTGTAAAAAAACAAAATACAAAAACACAATCACCACCACCAAAACCTCTACTGGGTTCCCAGAGATGTGGGAATATTTTCAAAATATCAATTCCTTTTTTAGCCCACAACAAGCCATTTAGGAGGAGTTCAAACATTTATTAATAATAAGGCTTTTTGGTGCTGTTACTTGATGGATTGGGAGTCTAGCAGTTTGGCCCCTAATTCTGATAATATCTTCAAAATATTACTGCTGACCAGAAGTGCCACTATAGCCATGAAAGAATTCATATCGCCTCTCAGCTGAATGCTGATCATGAACTGATGACTGCTACGCTTACTAATACAGCTTGGGGTGAAGGGATACCACAGGAGATACGTAATCTAGCCTGTGTGCCCTAGAGAAAGTAACTTCTCCTTTAAGCCTCAGTTTCTCTTTCTATAAAATGTAAAGTAAGATGTCTGAAAGATGACTGTAAGTTTTACATGAAACAGGTCAGGCATATGGTCAGTGCTATCATGGAGATCATGCCTTGCTTCTACTTTGAAGAAATTGCTGATTTCTAGAAAGGACATTCTCTTTACTTTCAACACAACACCTGCCATGCAATCCTCTATTCCCATCTCTTTTCAGTTCTAGTAGACTTCAGAACAGTGATAGACTCCTGCTGCTGTGATCCAATGGGACTGTGTAAATTTTGAGGTTGTGTAATCCTGTTATATCCAGAAAGATTCCCTCTTAGAAACTATCTCTAACCTCAAACACACCAAAAACGACACCAGATGTCACTTCAATGTCTGCTGATGAGGAGTGAACACCAAAGCCAACAGTGATGCCAGTGTTTGAGAACCAAGGTGCGCTCCCACTTACCTGACTTGGTTGGGACCTCATTCTTTGCTTCCATGGCCCTGCTCTGCAGCAAAGCTCCCACAGCACGAGTGACAGTTGGTTCTTTTCTGGGACTTGCTTGTGCCCTACGCTACAGATAGAGAAAGAGACAGAGCACAGTGTTGTGACATTTAACCAGAGTCCTCTGCAGGGACAGGGGACAGATAGATATGCACCTTGCACCTTAGTCCACTGGGCCCTGTCCCTACCCGCACTGGTGCTCAAAGCCATATCTGGATTTTGGAGTTTCCATCCCATAATTGAGCCTTTGGAGTTGGTGGTGGTATTTATCCTGTGAAATTAGTTGTGATCAGAAATCACTTCATGCTGGGGTTTTAGCTCAGTGGTTCCACCACCTGCCTTGCAAGAGCAAGGACCTGAGTACGATCCCCAGTATAAAAAAAAAAATCACTTCATGTCACCAAAGATACAGTGGTGAAGCATTTTATGTTTTTCATTCACTGTAAGATGATTTTGTTTTCCAACATAAGCAGAGAAGAAAACCAGATTGGCTGGCAGCAAATGTTTTCAGCGAGGAATTCCACTGTCGCAGGCTTATCTCAGTCCCTGCGGAGCAGCAGCAGATTGGTGGTAATGGGCTCCTGAAGGAGCTGCTGACCCACCTCCTGTCCCACATGACCTGTTACACTGCCTGAGAACTCCTGCCGGAAAGCGTGGCTGTGAGATTACAGCAGGCAGTTCATCCCCACCAGAGGAAGCTATTTTTAGAGGCCCACGTTGGACTCTTTGGGTTAAGGATCTAACACACTTTCAGAGCTGATTATGTTTAAAATGGAAACACATTAAACAGCCCTCCGACCCCTCCCTTCTTGCACCATTTCTGAATGAGTGTCGCCATTCGTCAAGGCCTCAAAGTGGCGATGAGACACTTTACAGTGCGCGATAGAATTCAGAAAGCAAGCAAGTTCTCTCCTGTGTTCCCAGCAACTGCTTAGCTCTGGAAAGCAAGGAGAGAAACAGTGCCAAGCCACTGGTTACTTTTGGGACGGACAGCCAGCTCCCTTCAGGGCTAAGGAACACCTCTGTGTGCTGTTTCCCTGTGCCCTCTTCGGCCCCAGGAACGCCTGATAACCCTGTAGGAGAACCCTTGACAGAAATGGCACTGGTCCCCTGCTGCTTTACCAAGTGAAGGGAGCGTTTCACTTAAGAAACACCCACCAAAATTAGACTGAATTCAGTACCAAAGCAGGCATCGTCCTCCACAACTGTGATCGCAGACCTACGGAGAAGGAAGAGCAATGGAGGGAAAAGGGCAGATGCACAGAGAGGAAAGGTGGGAACACCCCGCGGAAAGCACTGAGCTAAGCACCTTGCTTGACGATCTGGCAAGAAACACACGCTTAACCCTACTTTTACAGGTCAAACAAAATCTCAAAGAATAGGATTGACAGTCAAATTCTAACACCTCATCACAGAATCCTGGTTCTTTCTTTCTTTGTTGAGGTACTAGGAATAGAACTACTGGGATACATCACCAGCATTTTTAAATTTTATTACGGAGTCTCACTAAATTGCCCTGGCTGGAGTTGAACTTGCCGGCTGCCTGTCTCAGCCTCCCGAGTAGCTGGGATTATAGGCGTGCACCACCACAGCCACGAATCCTGCTTTTTTGACACCACACTGTTTTCCACGCTATTTCAGGAGTAAAGACAGAAACCCTAAGACTGTATTTGTCATCACTGCTGCCTCCTAACCCACATATCTGATGCCCTCTGTGTTTACAGTACAGATTGAACACCCTAACCCAACAATCTGTAATCTGAAATGTTCCAAATTCAGAAACTTTTTGAGCACTAACTTGACTGACACAACAGTGGAAAATTTCACACCTGAAACCACGGGTTATGTTGCAGTCAAAACACAGGCAATACAAGAAATATTGCATAAAATTACTTGATTGAACACTTAGACTTGTGCCCATTCCAAGATATTGCATTATATGTATGCAAATATTCTAAAATCCAAGAGGTTCAAACCCTAAAACATTTCTGGTGCCAAGCACTTTAGATATGAGATACAGACCTCTCTTACTATCTGCCCAGGCTCTGATGCCCACTTTTCCCCTGGCGGGAAACATTTCTTTATCTTCCTCCACACACCTTGTTAGTACTGTGACTCTGGGACCTCATTTCCCGCTTTTGCTGTGGCATCTTCCTGCTTTCCCACAATCCACCTTCCCTGCTTTCCCACAATCCGCCTTGGACAATGACTACAAAAGTGGTCTTTCTGAAAGCCAATTCTACATCACTCCAGTTCCTACTGGTCAGCCAACTGACACCGCACACATGGTGACACACAAGGAGCCTGGGAGATGAGCGAACAGAAGAGCCATGGAAGCCAGAAAGCAAAGGTAGAAGCGCTGTGGGTGGAAGGGTGGGATGATGAGGGGACAACGTTCCCTCTGCTGGGCTGGCTGTCTTCATGGTGCAGGGACTCTGCCCAGTGGGTGCCTGTTTCCCTTCCATCTGAACTGGTTTGTGTTGAAGCCCCTCTGGATAAGCTGCCCACTTTGCCTGTCCCTTCCTGACCCTCAGACCAGAAGCTAGACATTTGCACATACTGCCCTTCCAACCTTCAGATCTCGGCTAGTGAGCTCTCTCTGAATCTTACATGGAAAATGTTTAGTTGTTTGAAGATGCTTAGGAAATCCCTACACGGCTCACCTCCTTGTGTCAGTTAAACCACTACATCCTGTGCCGTTTCCAAGTCTCCTCTGAGTTACAAATCCCTGATCAACCAGTACTTAGCGTGGATGGCGTGGGTTCAGTACATGGTAGATACTCAATAACTCCGAGAGAGAGGAGAGAGACAGAGGGAGAGGAGAGAGGAGGGGAGAGGGAGAGAGAGGGAGGGAGGGAGAGGCGGAGAGAGAGGGGGAGAGAAAGAGGGAGAGATCGCTCATAATCCATTGTCTATAGGGTATGCTTGTTATGGAAAGGGTCCCACCTCTATTAGATGCTAGATTTAACTGAAAGATTTCTAAATAAGCATTCTGGACCAATTTAATATTTTTCTTGGAGGCTGAGCCATACTTATGACACTAATGGCCTTTATACTATACTATGAGTTGTGTACCTGTGACTTTGATGTGTGCGGAGCTATTTGCTGACCCTGGTCCTGCCTGTGCCTATAGAACTACTGTTATCCCGCTCAGGTGGTCATTTTACTTATGTGCTCCTATTTGTAATAGTGGCTTGGACTCATCCACATACCCCCTTAACTTGCTGATTTCACTTTAATTTGTGGCTTTGAATAAAAGCCTGAAGACCCCACCTCCACAGACCAGAGTGCATGGCCCGTGGGACATCTTCCCAGGGACGTCCCATCCAGGCCAGTTCCACTCAGAGTCCTAATTCTCTGGATGGTTTAGGCTGATGATTACCATCGGATAAACAGGGTTTTATCACATCACAGAAACCCTTTTTATATATCCCAGTCTTCCTCCTAAGAAACCTATCATCTGTCTGTCTATCTATCAATCCATCTATCTTTTCTAAACACCCAAACATGCTAACTAGAAAGCAAGTCCTGCAAAGATGATTCCCAAAGAAGTGACTGACAGTGGTCGGCTCCCTTAACTCTTTCGTTATTAGAAGGCTATTAAGGAACCCTACCAAATTCTCCCTGCTTTTCCCAGGTATGCAAGGACACAAAACCCACACCTGGATATTTACCTGAGCTCTGGATGTCAATTTAGCTGCAGTCTGGGCTGGATCAAAGACTCGGCGAGAAGACTGATCTTTGCAGAAATTAATATGCCGACCAGCTGCGGTTTCATTAAATCTCCTCATGCAATATGGGCATTGGATATAATCTAAATGCAAAGATAACAGCAAAAGCCAATGAACAATTCAGAAGCAAATATGGAGCGGACTCTATGAAATAGGTAGAGTATGAACTGTGTTTCAGTATGAAAGGGGAACTGATTTGAGACATAGTGGGGTCATGGAAGGGCTCACATAAAGGAAGTGGCAGGAAAATTTTTACTCCCTAAGCACTCATTTCAATGAGGAGTATGCCCAAAAGATAGGTAAGTGGCACCTTTCTTTAGACAGGAGCTCCATTACCCTTAGGAACTTCCCAGTGGAATGGATTATGCACTGAATCCTCATACAAAGGAAATAAGCCAGAAATGGGAGCACAGTGCCGATGGCGAGGAAGAACACAGAAAATCCAAAGTGAAGCATAGGATACGGTACTGGGTGAGACAGGAGCTCATACAGAAATTATGGGAGGAATACAGGAGGAGATAAGATTTCATTTCACAATGTGGGCTTGGAGGTGAGATTAGAAAGTAATGTCACTCTGTCACTAGTGGAAAGAAATACTGCTTTAGCGGCAGCTAGATTTGTTTCACTTTCCCAGGTGAGGAGGCAAATGGTATATTCAGGAGAGTAAAAGGATGAAAGATGTTAGGGCTCAAATGACAGGAGAAGGAACAAAGAAAAGGCAATGGCTTCAGAACCAGCTTCTGTTTATGGGCCGCAAATTCCAGGCAGCTCCTATCCGCCCTGTAAGCCCTTTCTGATTCTGCAAAATACCTTTGTGTCTGGATGTTTCCTTCATTTGTAATGATCAGACATGACAGGCTGGCAGGAGAAAGGGGGAGTGAGAAAGAGAAAGGCAGAGGCAGGTCTTCTTGGCACGTGGAGCTGTTTGTAGCAAGCCTGGGTCAGAGCCTCCTTCCTGGGGGCGGGCGGGGTGGGGTTTGCTTTGTTTTGACCCCGGCAACTTTAAGGGATAGCAAAGTGGATATGAGCGGCATAAGAGAACCTCCCCACCAAGTTCTGCGGCTGCGTCAACATTCAACTCAGGATAGAAGTTTGGATCGGTGCAGTCTAAATTCCTCCAGCCTTAAGCCGTTTGGGGAGTTTTCTATCTGAACAAACCATGCCGTAAGACTGTAAAGGGCTTAGCTACTATCTCGTAGCCTTGCCTGTTATTTCACATTCTGGAAGGCAGTACTTAGCCATCAGCACTGAGCACCTCATTGGCGGCAGGCGGTTGGACCTATGGGGGTGCCGTGCCACTCTGTCAAGGCGTCAAGATCCCCAACAAAACCGAACATTCCCACCACCACGAACGCCTTAGAAAGAACAAAATGAGACAGGGCAGGGTTGAGAGGTGACACGCGGCTTAGGCTCTGGAGCCTGCCTGCTTGCTTTGGAGCTACCTGTGCTTGTAGAACCGGGGCAGGTTCCTAAGCCTCCTCAGCACCATTCATGCCATCTGTTTCCTGGGGCTGCTGTGAAAGTGAACTATGATTATCCCCACGGGAGCCTGGCATGGTAGGAGGCGTGGAACACACCCAGTGTTTTTAAAATGCTAGCTCTAGTCCGCCACGGTTGTCTTCCCAACTACCAAACAGTTAGGGGTGCAGCTGGTTAGGGAAAAACTAACAGTGAAAGAGCCACGATACTTCAGAACTCATTAACAATGCTGTAGAAAAACCACACAGAACTCGGTGCTCAGCGGGGTGGTTGTTTCTTCAGCTTTTATCAGCTAGGGAAGTCTCCCGTCAGAAACGCTGCGGCCATGAGCCCTGCTCGGACCAGGCAAAGGCACTGACCATGGCAATTCTGAGCTGCGTCCTCAGCCCCGCAAGTTCAGCACCCACCGTCACCCTGCCACATATCCGGCGTGTGGCACCGCCATGGGGGCGGCACAGTTCAGGTAAACTTTCCCTGCCAGCAAAAATACCAGGGGTGATACGGCAGATAGGCGACTGCTACTGGGTAGGATAGGGTGCCGGGGGAAGGGGGAAGCAGGAGGATTTCTGGGGTCCACAGGGGTTGAATGTCAAACACTCTGAGAACGGAGAATAGAGTGCGCCAACATCTAATCGTGGCCAACGGAGCTACACGCTCTATCCTCACTCAAGAGTTCCTTCATCTGGCAGTACAGCTTTTATAAAATTACTGTGTCCTATGTATTTCAATGGAGATAATTTCAAAAGTCAGACTACAAATGGATTCTTATGAGGAACATGGTGACCAGGTCTCACACAAAATTAGAGACATAAACATCATTTTTAAATGCAGACACTGTGACCCCCACATGCAATAGTGACCAAATGTCTTAGGCCTCACAGAATAATCCCAATTATAACTATTTTACATCACTGCTCCTATAAAGGATCACAACATCCGGGAAATTTAAATCATCCTCAGATTTGGTTACATCAGTAAGAAGTAGAATACATACATGAGTGTCACAAAAATGGAGTCAGGAAAATAGGGAACCGTGCTAAAAGAAAAAGGAATCACTTGCACTCCCAGGCATATTCGGCCATATTATATATAATTCTAATCGTGAGTGTGCATGGACGAATCTGGAAAATATTGGGTAATATAAAATCCTTGCACAATCAAAATAATCAAATCATGATGCAAATGTGCTGTTGTACAGAATCACTTCACTTGTTGCATATAATTATAGTTAAGCGCACAAGAAAGAATTGAATTCTTAAACTACAGTTTGGCATAAAAACATGGAAGAAAACAAATTGAACAGGCAATCAGGCCTTGCCGGGGAAGTGGTTTTTTTTTTTTTTAAAGAAAATAATCCATACATTTTAGATCTGACTTGGTAATGAGAAAAATTCACACAGTACAACATTTGACATCGTTTCAGTTATTCAACTAAAGGACCCTAAGAGAACCCTCTACTCTGTAGCTTCTGATTTTAAAATAAAGCTATTTCTTTTTTCACTCTTCACAAAGGGTTTTTCTTGTTCCATGAAATTTACTTTTGCATTACTAAAATTATAGCTACAGCTTTTTCTACTGAAACTCTCAATACTGCACTTTATTTTAAGCTGCATTTTCATCACTACTCAGCAAAAGTGAATGCAACTATTTTTTTGTTACATAAGTTCAGATCATGTGTGCACTTGATAATTCTTTGGTGTGATCTCACTGTGGCATTTTGTTCTTGTACTTTTTCAGATGAATCTGAAGAATAATTTCCACACAATAAAATTTATCTGTGCTACATGTACAGTTTAACGAGGTTTGACAAATGTACCACTCTAATTAAAGTACAGGACCTTTGCATCACCCCCGAATTTCCCTCAAGCTTCATTTCAGGCACAGACCTCCAGAGCCAGCCGCTTCTTTCCTATCACTATGCATAAGTTTCACTCGTTTCATATAATAGAGTATCCATCCTGCCTGTGAAGCACTCAGAAACATTCCCCAATCTGCTTATCCATTTAGTTTTTGATGGATACTCGCAGTTGTTTCCAGCTTATGCTACACAAATAAAGCTATGAACATTCATGTCTAAGTCTCTTTCATGGACATTTTTATTGTTTTTGCACAAATATCTAAAAGTAGAATGGTTATACAGATCAACTGTATGTTTGAGAAAACACCAGTGCAAAGTGGTTTATTGGGCATCATTTTTGCCACCTGTCTGTTCAAATACATCTCTTGTCCTTTTCCTAGAGGGTTGTGTCATTATCGAGCTGTGGGAAGTTTGTTTTATTTACTTATTTGATGATACTCAGGATTGAGCTACACCTCCAGCCCTTTTAATTTCTTATTTTTGAGACAAGGTCTTGTTAAATTTCTGAGTTGCCTATGTTGGGCTCGAATTTGTGATCCTCCTGCCTCAGCCTCTCGAGTGCTGGGAGTAGGGGTGTGCCACCATTCCTGGCTGAGTTTTTTATATATTTTTAACGTGAGAGCCCTTTTTAAAATACGTATGTTCTCAATATTTGCTCCCAGCCTATAGGTGGCCTTTCCTTTCTTAATGGTAACTCTCAAAATGTAAATTTTTTGTTTTTCATGACAATTTACCAAGTCCCTTAAAAAAACTGTTAGTGTGTCTGTGTCCTGCCTGAGAAATCTTTGTTGACCAATTTTTTACTTTTTTCTAGAAGTTTTATAGTTGTAGCACTAAAGTAAATGATGTATTTTGAGTTAATTTCTCTATATATTATAAGAATCGGGGTTCATTTTTTCGCACACAGATGCACACTTGTTCCAAAAATCATGTGTTGATATCCATCTCCTCTATTTCATTATCTTAGCATCTTTTAAAAAGATCAGTTGCTGGGCTGAGGATTTAGCTCAGTGTTAGATAGTCAAGATTTTGTGCTTTTTGTTGTGTTTTTTTTTTTCCCCCACAACAATTTTAGCTTCTACAAATCTTTCCATTTTCTACACACTTTTAGAATTGGCTGGCCAGCTCCTCCATGGCAGAGAAAACATGCAGGTATTTCTATTAGAATTAAATTGAATCCTCAGCTCAATCTGGGTAGAAATCCATCACTATGCTGAATCTCCCAAACCAGGAAAATAATAAATCTCGTCACTTATTTTGGTCCTTTTTAATTCTTTGAAGGAACGTCTTGTGCTTTTCATTTTACAGGTCCTGAACATACTTTACTGAGGTTTTTTTATTGGTCCATGTTTGCAGCACATAAAGACTGCATTTCCTGTGGAGTTGGTACACACGCACAACACATCTTCATTCTTTCTTCATCCCTTTGTTTCCCTCCTCGCACCCTCCATCTCTCAGGTCCTGTACATTTTTGCTAAATATATTCCCAAGTATTTAATTTTTATGTTCTAGTAACCGCGATTCTAATTTTCATTTTTAAATAGGACTACAATGCACTATGTATACTTGCGGGGGCGGGAACTGGACCCAGGGAGACCGAGTTACATCCCTGATCCTTCTTATTTAATTTGGAGACAGTTCAGTTTTCGGTTCTGCAGCCTCTGCCTCCTGAGTTGCAGGATTACAGGCAGGGCCACCATGCAAGGCTTACTGTGTAACCTTGCATCCTTCCCCCTCATCAAATTCACTGTTCTCGGTAGCTTTTGTGCAGTTCTCTAGGGTTTTCTACATTAACTCCTTCTTGATCACATTGTGAATAAAGGTAGCTTTACTTTCCAATCTTTATACCATAATATATACCCATATATATTATCTATTGACCGTTTTTTTTTTTTTTTGCCTGATGATACTGAATACCATCTTTAGTAGTGCTGAAGAGAAGTGGTCAGAATGGATACTTTGGTTTTTTTTTTCTTTATCTTAGTTTTTCTACATTGAGTGCATGGGTGAGCAACAGATTTTTAGATGCCTTTTTATGGGGGAAGTTCCCTCTATTTCCACTTTCCGGCAATGTTTATGTTTTGTTTTCAACACAGATGGATGTAACGCTGTCAAAGTTTTATCTTTCGAGATAATTATGTGCTTTAAACAATATCTTATTATGGTAAAACATGTTCATCACCTTCTTCTCTTTACTTAATTTGGGTTTAATATTTTTTTAACTCTTTAAAGGGAAAGTATAAGGTAATTGATTTAAACTTCTTTATTTTTTTAAAATATAAACATCTAAAGCTATAAAGTTTCTGCCAGGCACTACATAAGATATATCCCACAAATTTCAATATATTTTCATTTCATTCACTTAAAAATATTTTCTAATTTCTTTTGTGACTTCTTAGATCCATGGGTTATTAGAAATGACAATTTCCAAATAGTACTGGGGATCAAACTCAGGACCTTGCACTTGTGAGGCAGGCAGGGGCACCACTGAGCTAAATCCCTGGCCAACTAAATTTCTTAATATTCAGGAATGTTCCCGATATATTTTTTCATTCATTTCTAATTTAATTTTATTGTGATCAGAAAATACAGTCTGTATGATTTCAATCCTTTTTAAGTTTCTTGAGACCAACTCTGTGGTACTGTCGTCTGTCTTAGAGAAATGGTCCATGTATTTGAAAACAATGTGTGATCCGCTGATGCTCTGTACATCACACTGTAGATGCTGATACCAATTAGGTCAGACTGGCTGATACTGCTGCTCCAGCTTTCTACATCTTCCCTGGTTTTCCTTCTGCTTTTGCATACTGAGTGATAAAATCTCCTAATACCATTGTGAATTTGTCTACTTCTCCTTCCAGTTCTGTCACCTTTGTTCTACATTCTTTGAAGCTCTGTGGCTAGGTACATAAACATTTAGAGTTGATAGGTCTCTGTGTTGAGTGGATCTTTTGAATTAAGATCTGTTAATACTTGCTCTGAAGTTGACTTTGCCTGATATCAGCATGGCCACTCTAGTTGTATGTTTATTGTCTACATGTATACATTTTCCTGTGCTTTTATCTTGTATCTTAAGTGTTTCTTATGAAAAACATAAAATAGTTGGCTCATTATTATTCAGCTTAATAATCTGTCTCTTACTGAGTGTGAAGTTCATTTATATGCACTTATTCATATGGATAGGTTTTACTCCACCGTCTTGCTCTTTGTATTTATCTCATTTGTTCCATTTTTCCCTTTTTTGTGTTCTCTTTTAGGTTGAATTTTTATCATTTTAATCTCTATTTAATTTATTCCCTTATTAGCTCTAAGTCAACAGTTTTGAGTAATTATTAGAGTAACCACACGTCTATCTTTAAATAGTACTATATCTATTCACATGTTATGTAAGGACCTTACATAATTTATCCTTTTTCTCGACTCAAACTTGTGCTATCATTTTCATACATTTTACTTCCACAAGCTATAATCCTCAAAGGATGTCATTATTTTAATGCCTTAAATAACAAATTATAACCCACAGCCAACATTGTACTCAATGGGGACAAAAAGACAAGAATGCCCACTTTTGCCCCTTCTTTTCAACATAGTGTGGAAGTTCTAGGCAGAGGATTTAGACATGAAAAAAAAGAAACTCAAACAACCCCCAAAAATAGAAGGATACAAATGGAAACAAAGAAGCAAACTTATCTCTGTTTCCAGGTAATCTTACAATAAAACCTTGGACTGGGAGTAACTTGTTCTGTGAGTGTTCTGTAAGACAAGCAAACATTTCTCATCAATTTTAACTTGATAAAGTAGCCATGTCTTGTAATACAAGCAGTCTGTGATGCCAAACATCACATGAGCACAACTGAGCCAGTGTTGTTCTCTAGCTCCCTCCTCTCTCTGCGGGCTTGTGAGTGATACTCTCTCAACAGCAAGAAATTATGGAGATCTCCTGCAGAAGAGGAGGAGAAAAGGCGGAGGAATCCCTTGTTTCAAGTGAGATTACGAAAATGTAAAAAACATTGCAAAATTTTGTAGAAAAAAATCCTGCACTCAGATAAGGCTGTAGCAGTGCAAGTGATGAAGCTGTTTAATGACAATGCAATGTCCCATTTCCATGAAATCCTCAAAAGAAGCAATTGTCGTTGAATAGGTTCCTTATAAAAGTTGTACAAAAAGAAAAGATTCCAAAAAATATATTTAACAAACATCAACAACAAAAAAAGAAAAGGTTCCACTGAGCCAATATATAGCAGTGATTCCATTAGTAATAGTGAATTTGCCCTACAAATAACTCTCCTCTCTTAACTTCCTCATAACAGCCATGAAGGTTTTTAAAGGTAAATGCAGGTTAATTTGTTTATTTTTAAATATTTCATATTTTCTTTATCATTTTATATTACAGTAATTATTTTCATCATTTTACATCAATATTTTTAGGTTGTGGAATGAGTCATTTAAGTTTCCATTATTTCTTATGGAGAAATTCACTTTGATATAGTGCTTTGGATTACAAGCATGTTTTCAGAATGAATTATGCTCAGAAACTAAGATTTTACTGTATCTTATTATGTAGTGATTCCTAAAATTTCCACAAAAATACTTAGACCTATAAACGCATTCAGCTAAACTGCAGCATATACAAGGCCATTATGCCAAAATAAGTAGCATTTTTATATGCTGACGATGAACAATCTGAAAAGAAAGCAATTCCATTTACAATAAAATAAAAAAAGGAATAAAATACACAGGAATAAACTTAACCATGGAGTAAGACTTTTACACTAAGAACAACAAAATATTGCAGAAAGATATTAAACATAAATAAGTGGTATTCTGTGTCCATGGATCAGAGGACAGTACTCCTAAAAATTACAGTACTACCGCCTGACGTGGTGGTGCACGCCTGTAATCCCAGCACTAGGGAGGCTGAGGCAGGAGGATTGCTGTGAGTTCGAGACAAGCCTGGGCTACATAGTGAGTTCCAGGTCAGTCTCAATGATATGTGAGACCCTGTCTCAAAAAATAAAAAAAAAAAAAATTACAGTATTACCCAAAGCAATCTATAGGTTTGATGCAATCCCTAATAAAACCCAACAATTCATAAATAGAAAAAAATCCCCAAATTTACATGAGACCTCAGAAAAAGAAATCAAAACCCTAAAAGCCAAAACAACATTGGAGCACTCAGAATTCCTGATTTCCAAACATACTATAGTGCAACAGTAATCAAAAGTGTGGTACTGGCATAAAGATGGCTATGTAGACCAGTGGAACAGAACAGAGAACACAGATTAAACCCTCAAATATATACTCAGTTGACCTTAAATAAGAGATGCAAGGTCATTCAATGGAGGAAGAACAGTCTTTTCATCAAATGGTGCTGAGAAAATTGTCTTTCTATGTGCAGAAGTACGAAGTTGAGACATTACCTTACATCTCATATAAAACTTAACTCAAAATGGATCAAAGACCTAAACCTAAGAGCTAAAACTATAGAACAAAAAACATATGGGACTCCATTAGATTTGGCAAGGATTTTTTAAATGTATGACATCAAAAGCACAAACAACAAAAGAAAAACTAGATATGCTGGACTTTATCAAAGTTTTAATATTTTATACATTAAAGGCCACTGTCAAGAAAGTCAAAAGACAGTACAAAGGGTAGGAGAAAATATTTACGAATCATATATTTGATAAAGGATTAAAAGTAATCTAACCAAACTTTTAGCCCTAACTTCTTCCAACTTAAAGAAAGATGGGATAGAGAAACAAGTTAAACACTAATATGACTAAGCAAGCAGACGGTTATAGAATATGAGGCATTCCAAGGGATAAACAGCCTGGTAGAGCTATAAGATTTTTAAAAGATTGTAAATATAACAAAAGACAACACATAAACCTTGAACATAGCCTGAATTATGGCAGGGGAAGAGGGGAAATTGCAGGGAGGGCTTTAAAATACATTCTTAGAATATGTGGGAAAGTATTTTTTGCAGTTATGATGGCATTGTGCTCATGCAGGAAAATATGCTGAAGAGATGCATATTGAATAGTTAAAGATAAGCCATGGATAGTAAAAGGTAAGTCAGGGAGGGCAACAATTCTAAAATTGTCAGATTTCAGCCGGAAGTTTTGTACTGTTCCTTCTTTTCTATAGATTTGAAAATTTCCAAAATAAAAAGTCTGGAGCAAAAAAGCAGTGGACTACTAAACTGTACAAATTAGAATGCTAATTTAAATTAGAATTTAAGAGAGAAAGACTGAGATGAAAGGAAAAAGAGAGAAGGAAGCTGTGGCCATCTGGCCCTGACCACTGCAGAGCTGCTTAGACTACTCTGCACACTCCCAACCCCTTGGCCAACGCACGGATGATGTCCCCAGAACTACACAGTGACACAGCAAGGCGCAGTGGTCTGACGGAGGAGGCAGCAGAAGAACTGGGGAGAAACTTTTCACATACACACATAACTCTTATATAATTGATAAAAATCACTTGTATGCAAATGTCATTGTCAATTTTAGAGTAGAGAGAAGGATAGCAATCGGGCCAAAAGTCAAGCAGAGCCACAAAAGCAAACCGAAGGGCTAGGGCTATAGCTCAGGGGTAGAAAGCTTGCCTGGCACCAGCAAAGCTGTGGGTTCAAACTCCTGTACTGAGAAAAAGAAGAAATAAATGAAAGTAAGCCCACATGTCCGCACACCTGGACTGACGCTGGGAGGGGGCGGAGGAGGTAGAGGCCTGCCTTCTCTCATGGCTAGCGGGCACCGCTTCGCTGATCGGATCGCATTAATGAAATCTGCATGTTGTTGTCTCCAGTTGGATTTCCTCACAGGTTGAGACTGTAAGAATGAAAACCGATAAACGCTACCAAAGTCTATCCATGTCTCTAGGATAATTTTTTTTTCTTAAATTGGGATTTGCATCTACAGGAAACAGGTCTGTGAAGTTAGGAGGGAAAGGAGAATTGTTTTTAAAAACGGCTACTTAAAGAGGCTTGGGAACTGCAGTAATAAAATGTGCAGGTCACAATAGTGAAGGGAAACACAAAACAAAAAGTAGAAAAACAATAGTTACAAAACTTTAACAGAAGACAAATGGAAGTGACATTCTTCCAAAGTTAGTTGCTAGATTTAAAACAACTCTAATGACAATATAAACAAAATTCTTGTGCCCACATATGGAAAGTGAAATATATTTGGAAATAACAAGTGAGCAAGATTATAAAGAAAACAACAAGGTGGATCCCACTTAAATGATATTATGCTGATTTATCAAGCAAAAAAACAAAACCAGAGACTGAAAATGGGCATAAATGTACTTACTATAATACAGCACAACAAAGAAGCAGCAACAGTACCTTGGATTGAGGCGCCTTCCTCACAGTGGGGATGTCAGTGCCCTGCAACCTCTGCTTCAAGGAATTGAAAGGTTTACGCTTTTTGTGGAAGAGTTTTCTACATATTGGTCCGTGCCTTTTCTAGAAAAGGAAGGATAGCTATTACACTTTTGGAAATGCATCATCAGAGTTTTTTAATTCCTCTTTGTATTCCATAGCCCCCACTCCAGTGAGTGGGTTGTTCCTTCACAAGTCCATCTTCTAACTCTCAGACCACAGCACAGCAAATGTATATGGCTGTCCTCAATCATGTTAGATAAAATACTGTGTTTGGGCAAAGACAATGAAAGTCCCTGCATCATGAATGTCCCTTAAAAGTGGAAGTTTTGGGGTGGTGCGTTGGGAATCCATGGAACCCGCAGGAGATAAAACCTAATGGGAGGTCTTTAGGTCACCAGGCACACACCTAGAAAGGGATCATGAGACTCCTATTTCTCTTGGCATTCCTTTGCTTCCTGGTTATTAGGTGAGCAGTTTTAATTCATCATGTGCTTTTGCGGCCATGATATGCTGCTTACCACAGGCCCTAAGCAATGGGCCAACGATGGACTGGACCCTCAGAAACTGTGTGCCAAAGTAACCCTTTTCCTCTTGTAAGAATATCTCAGGTATTTTGCTTTTGTGATGAAAAGGTAATAGGACAATGAAATAAGATTTACTTTGATTTGTTTTTTGCATATTTAACTCTAGAAGTTTAGCACCGCACTCTTTATTCCAACCAGCAGTCCTTTAAGTATGCAGCATTTTTGGCACAAAAACTAGAGAACCACTATCTAGAGCTCTGCCTGTATACCACCTTTCTTAAGTCTGTTACTGGGTCTCTATGGGATGACATCAACACTTTGCCCTTCTTGGTAGATATGTGACACATAATAGCTAGCATTTACAAAGTGACTTTATCCCCCAACCAACACAGTGTAGGCTCTATAAAAATCACTACACTGAAAAAAAAAATCACTACAGCAAGATAAGAACAAGCCACCCCATGTTAAACCAAATGAAGAGGATGTCAGATCGCTCAGTCAGACCTTCTCTGCAGCCTAGAGATATGCTGAGGGAGTGAAACTCAAGAGTATCCAAAACACACCAGACCTTCATTGATCCCTCCACACATGCACCGCCCAGGACTCAAACCTACTTCCAGAGGTGCAGCTTCTGGATGGCAAAGGCAGAGCAGGCCCCTGTGGAACTGTTGGGATACAACAGGCCCCAAGAGCTCCCTCTAAAATTTCCTAGTTAATAAGAACAGACATTTTATTTTTTAAATTCCCTAGAAAAAAATAAAACCTGCAACTTCATTTTGTAGCCTTTAAACATAGTCAGGCTTATAGTCCAAATCTTTTGAGATACACCTCCTTGATCTTAAATGCTCTGATCACATCATCACTTAGGTTTTTTTGTTTTGTTTTGTTTTTGCTTTTGCTTTTGGTACCAGGCATCAAAATTGGGACCTTGCCCTTGCAAGGCAAGTGGCAGAACTGCTGAGCTAAATCCCCAACCCCATTATTTAGATTTTTAATCAGTCATCTTTCTAGGAATCTCTTTATAATATTTGGGTCTACCATTTATTTCCTAATTTTGAAGTAGATTCAATTTTATAGCTACCAACCGAGGAACCTGCCACATAGCTTGAATCTAGATAAGAGATCTTGGATCAGGGCTTGATTTGTTTTATTTCATTCAAATGCCATAAAACGCCCCAGATTGGGGGGTTCTGAATATGGGACAGAACAGAAAACAGGAAGGTTAAAGGACTTGTCAGAATTAGTGACAAATTTGGGGCTAAAAGCCAAGTTTCCAGATGCCTGAAATTCAACGTTCATTCCTTTTGACTAGCTAATTTCCCTGGTGTTTTAGACCTTGAAATTTGAATTTTTGATGCTTAAAGAAAAGGAAGAAGAGCCAGAACCTCTGAAGGGGTAGTCGGCTGCACCAAGACCCCTCCATCTGGCTTTTAGGAACAGCACGGTTATCAGGGTCACTTTTGAATATGGCGGCATTCGTGTGCCCAGTGTCCTGGGGGCTGGCAGCCACAGGTTGTGTACTTGTCTTCCTTTCCTTCCCCTCCACATCTGTCTTCAATCTTGGCACCGCCAGCTCCTCACCGACTTTGACAGTTCATTTGACTCCAATGAAACACATCTACAGAATGTCTTTATGTTTACCAGAACATCTGCTGCAAAGCGTCTTCCACAGACTTCACAGGGAAACAGCTCCTGATTACCATCTGCATAAGAGTCAAGAGCACATTATGTTAGTTCCGTGGAATTGCCCAGCCAGCCGAGAAATGATGATGGCTGGTGAGCGGTGACCTCAGGGGCCTGACATCCTCACCATCTTTTCCCTCCCACCAACTGCTTCCTTCTCTTTGAAAGACCTTGGGTAAACTTACCTGTGTTTTCCTTTCCTGATATAAACTAACCTCACAAGTAAATTGTGTAACCTTCAGGCAACCAGAGTATCATCATTGGATTTAGTAATCAATATATACTTCAACAAAGTGTCTGATAGCTATGTTTAGACATGTGTACAAAGTTAACACCTTAATATAAAGTCACAGCCAGGCATGAGTGCCTGCCTATCATCCTAGCACCCAGGAGGCTGAGGCAGAAGGATCACTGCGAGTTCAAGACCAACGTGAGTTCAAGGCCAGTTGGGGTTAATTAGCAAGACCTTGTCTCAAAACACAATATATATGCAATATATACATTTTTTAAAAGTATAACTATATAAATGATCCAATGGTAACACCTTTGGAATTCCTCCTAAATGAAAGGCTGCAGACTGAGACTGTGCCTACTGTATCCCAAGAGCCTCAGGGTACCCAACACAGAATAAAATATTCAACAAATGCTAGTTAAAGGTATAATTCAAACAAGAATTTTGTTTCTACCATAAGACCAATCACTCATTCAACAAATAATTAATAATCTGCTATGTGCCACTCTGTGGAAATGTGAGAAAAACCACACATGGTCCAGCATAGAAAAGCACAGAATGTCGTAAGAGAGAAGTCCAGAAAGAGTCAAGAGAGAAGCAAAACATTACGGGCTTCTAATAGTTCCTTTAGTTCATCTGGAGCTTATTACACAACGATTTTCTAGGAAGTTTGTGGTCTGAGCATGACTTGATTTTGGAATAATAATCTGGGCTCTACGCTCCAAACAAGGAAAGCGACCAGGAACACTGAGTTGGAAGGAGCTGTCCAGAGCTGTGGAAGTTCCCAGACAAAGGGGAGAAGGGAAGGGCAAGGAGAAGAGGGAGATTTAGTTAAAAAGCTGGAATCAAAGGCTCAATGGAAAGAGGAAATGGGAGGTGTTACATCCAAGGGTTCGCAAGGTGACCAGCTGGGGAGAGCCTAGGAAGTGACAACCAGAGAATGTCTAGGGCCATGCTAAGTTGACAGGCAGCTCAAGGTGGTGGGGCTGTGGATAGAAATGGGAGCTTGGAAAGGAGGGCCATTTCAGGAAGAAACGTGACCTCAGCCTTGGAAATAGTGAATTGAAGTAGATTCGTCCCGCCAGCAGGATGGAAATGAGGGAGAGGTCAGGGCCAGAGACACAGATGGAAGCTTTGAGAAATGAAGTAGAAGCACGATCTTGCCAGGGAAGTCATGGAAAGAGCAGTACGGAGAGGAACCTTAGGGAGACTTATACTTAGGGGCCAAGAAAATGATGACGATAAGCCACGAGAAGCAGGAGAGAACAGGGTCACAGAAACCAAGGGAAGAGACTTTGCAAAAGGAAGGTCTGGTTCACAGGAGGCTGACCGGTAGCCCACTACAGATGTTATTGATTTAAATTTTCTTCTCTCATCTGCTAACTGGTATTGTGTTTTCAACTCAGGACAGCCGTCTCATCACACAGCAATCTTTCTCCCTTTCTGTTCTTTCAGCCTTCAGATTCTAAAACTGTGTCTTCCATTATTTTTTTTCAGGAAAGTAACCCCAACCTCCCCCCGCCACATAAAACTGTTCACCCTAATTATAAATCTATTGCTTTTTCTAAGACACTAGTGAAGGATAAACTACTGTTATGAGTACTAGAATAATAATTATATGGTGCTGTTTCCTCATGTGCTCCTCATAGAGCCCTGTGAAACAGGGTTAGTACTCTTTTGGTGGCACTGGGAGGATTGAACCCAGGGCTTCATGCATGCTAGGCACATGCTTGACTGTGCTATATCCTCAGACTGGGTTTGTATTATTTTAACCATCAAGAAAATGCAGGGTCATGGGGACTGACTGCTCTCAGATCACAGGTCACAAGTGGTAACACGAGGCTTGAACCTGAGTCTGTCATGTGAAGGTACAAGATCCCAATGATACTGGGTCTTACAGATTTATCCCATTTTGTACCCACCTCATCACATGGCTTTGCTGTATAAAATATCTTTGAAAATTAGGGTGAGTGAGCAACCCACTTTCAGGTCCCCCTTCTGTCTTCTTAGACAGCTTTCTTTCTCTCAATAAATTTTTCATGCTCTTAAAAAAAAATTCCAATGATAAATGTGACTATTGTTTGCTTAAATGTACCAATAAACTTAATGGGAAAAAATCAGAATGGTTTCATACTGCCAAACAACAAATTGGGAAATTAAAATATATAGAAAAGATGCTTTAAACTTCCAAGGTAAAATAATCTATACCCTAGAATTCTGTATCATTTAACTATGAATTAAATATGAAAGTAGAAGACATTTGCAAATATCTAACTTCTCAAAAGGTTTACATTCCAAGTACATTCTTGTAAAATTAGTGGAGCACGTGATTCACAAATGAGTGAGGAAAAGATACTGGAAAAGGCAACACAACTTCAGAGGGAGAAAAGGCATTCCAGAGGCAGGCAGCAAGCAGCCCCAGTTGGAGGTGTGTGATTAGCAACAGAGATGTTGATAGGACCAAGATACTTCCTGCCTTTGTAACCTTAGGGTAGCACATCCACAGAAAACTGCCTTTCTGTTCTCTACTGGCTCAGTGAGTATCTGCTATCTCTTTCGCATCCTCATGTTTAGATGAGAAGAGGATGCTCCTTTTATCCCATAAGGATCTACATTGATCTTGAGAGACAGAGTTAGGTAGATCATGGTAACTTAGAAGCAGAAAATAGAACCCAAGCATACAACCCTGTGTGCATCTCTTCAGATCCAGGATGCTGTCACCTCGCTCTCTGCCACACACAAAGATCTTGTAGACTGTGGAGGCTCAAGTCAGACCCAGTTCAACTCCTCCAAGACTTGCCTTCACCTAATGGTAGCCAATGCTGCCCTCACACAGCCAGCTTTAGGTTTCTCTTTCAGTTGTTCAAACATAGATGCTCTTGTGTTTAGGATACCATTCTACCATTCAGATGGTCTGAAGATAAAACAATACAGGGTGCGGGGAGAGATGTCTAGTAGAACAGTCTGAATATAGATGACTGTGTTTCCTGAGCAGAAAGAGGGGAATGAAACTGACAGTTTCTGTAGGCAGCTTCTACATTCTATTTCTTAGCCTGAATAGTGGGCTTATGTCTATTGCATATTATCTCTTAAGTTTCACAACGAAAACTCAAAGGCTATTAGAATGTTTATCTTCTTCTGCCCTTTTCCCTCCTGCTCTTTAACTAGATAAAAGTGAACCAACATCAACATACAGGGAAACAAAGAAGACAACAACATAACATACTGAAAATATTAGCAGTAAAGTTCCAAGATGACTAGACCTTCACCTTGGTGACAGGGTCACATCACAATGGAGACTGTGGGCACAGTGCATCACAGATAACATACACAAAGGGCCACAGCAGCTAAGATACTTAAAACTTTTACAGTGGTAAGAAAGTGGTTTTAAACCAACCATGGACAGTACTTTAATAAAACAAGAGTAAAACAAAGTAGGCAAATTCTTCATGACTGTCCTTCACCCGGCTTCACACAGGCCCTTTTCTTGCTACTCCCACTGAATGTGGGTGCTGCTGGTTCCTCCAAGTTTAAGTACTTTTTTCTGAAATGTCTTTCTGACTCTTTCACTCAGACACTACTTGAGACTACCAAATGCCAGGCCTTGTCCTAGTCACTAATGACAAAGCTATAAGCAAAAATTCTGCCTCATCTGCTCCAGGGAGATGATGAGAAAATGGTCTCATGCACCACAGAGAACCTAAAGCAGGGGAGGGAGAATGCCATTTTTACACACACACTCAGGGAAATGCTTACAGGGAGGTGGTAACAGCAAGCCCAGTGAAGGCTTATCTGTCACGAGAGACTTAGGGGGAACAGTGAGCACTATGGTTCTCATTCTGAGTGGTACTTGGCGCACTGACCCCTCTGCCAATTATCTGTGCAGCTTACAACCTGCCTTTCCTGGCCTAATAGTTCTTGACAGCAAAAACCTGACCTCTGGGGACTTCCACCATTTAGCATGGGGCCTATATGTTCAGTTCCCAACCATCCTTTATAAATGGCTCAAACATCAGCCAACCTGAGTGCCTGGCTGTGGAAAGGGGATTCCAGGCTGCTGGGTTGTGTGTGGAGGGAGATAAAAATAAAATACTATAAATTTAAATTATAATCAATTTGTTCTCCAGAATAAAGTTAGCATCTGTAAGTCTGGGATTTCTTCACTTTATCACTGTATACTTACTTAGTCAAGACTTGTAGATTTATCACCCCTGTAATTGTCAATGTCCATTAAGTCCTGTATCAGTGACAGTAAACCTTTTGGAATTTACATTGATACCAAGTCTACTGTGACAAACGACTACGTTCTCCACCACTGCCCTACATAAACATAAACAGCACCATGACAGAATGACAGCCAGTGTCTCAGATTTGCTGGTCCTGAGAACCTTCAGTTGAGATGGCCTCCAAAATAAGTACCCAATCCTTTCAGGACTTAAATTCCTAATACATAACCATCAATTAACCCTTTCTGTTTTTGCAGGTTAGCAATTAAAACTCTTTGGCATTCTATACCTATTTCTACAGCCAAGTTTTATTTAAAAATGTTGGGGGCTGAGGATTTAGCTCAGTGGTGCTGCAGCCTACCTCACAAGCACAAGATCCCGAGTTTG